TTCACCCCATACACAGATTGCAGATTCACATCAGTTACACATCCACTGATTTACAAATTGCCATACTAGTGTCTGTTGTGCTCCGCTGCCTTTCCCATCATCCACCCTCCCCCCTCCCCACCTCTCCCCTCCCCTCCCCTCCTCTCTCTCTACCCCCTCCACTGTATAACCCTGAGGGTCTCCTTCCATTACCGTGCAATTTACCTTCTCTCTCCCTTTCCCTCCCACCTCTCATCCCTGTTAAATGTTAATCTTCTTCTCCTGTTCTTCGTCCCTACTCTGTTCTTAGTTACTTTCCTTATATCAAAGAAGACATTTGGCATTTGTTTTTTAGGGATTGGCTAGCTTCACTTAGCATAATCTGCTCTAATGCCATCCATTTCCCTGTAAATTCTATGATTTTGTCATTTTTTAATGCAGAGTAATACTCCATTGTGTATAAATGCCACATTTTTTTTATCCATTCGTCTATTGAAGGGCATCTAGGTTGGTTCCACAGTCTTGCTATTGTGAACTGTGCTGCTATGAACATCGATGTAGCAGTGTCCCTGTAGCATGCTCTTTTTAGGTCTTTAGGGAATAGACCAAGAAGGGGAATAGCTGGGTCAAATGGTGGCTCCATTCCCAGCTTTCCAAGAAATCTCCATACTGCTTTCCAAATTGGCTGCACCAATCTGCAGTCCCACCAGCAATGTACAAGTCACACAGTGGTTTCTTAATGCTACTTGCTCATACTGCTTGAACTATGGATTTTTCTAATAAACATTCATAAAGTCCATTTTCATTGTCTGCATGGAGTGTTTTCATTTTATTTAAATAATAATTTTCATATCAAGAAAATTTATATAAATAATCCATATGCCCCTCATGATCATATTGTAGTTGATTTTACCAAAAAGGGATGGAATCATTCACTGAGGAAATGATTCTAAATCTGATTTTTAGGCTCCCATGGCAAACAGTGGAAAGTTTGATACACACCCAACCTTTACAGTTGGGGAATCATTGTTAAATTACAGCACTCCACCCTCAAAATTGAAATACCCTGTAGATTTATTATCTAAATGGGCTATCTAAATGAATTTACTATCTAAGTGTTACTCTGGGCTATTGAGAAGAAGAGTAAGCCAAGTTGCCCATGGTATAAAGATGTATATGTTTATGAATATGTGCATATTTATATCTTTACATATATCACTCATGATATATAAAAAGTGACATGAAGTAGATGCTTAAAAATGTTTGCTGAATGGCTGGGCTCGTAGCACACACCTGTAATACCAGAAGCTTGGGAGGCTGAGTCAGGAGGATCGCGAGTTCAAGGCCAGTCTCAGCAATAACAAGGTGCTAAGCAACTCAGTGAGACCCTGTCTCTAAGTAAAATACAAAATAGAGCTGGGGATGTGGCTCAGTGGTCGAGTGCCCCTATGTTCAATCCTCAGTACCAAAAAAAAAAAAAAAAAAAGTTAGCTGAATCTTCATTACTCAGTGGGCATATGGATATTAAACTGACTCAAAGAAATGTTTTAAGGCTTAATAATGTGATTTCAAAGCATTCAAGGAATTTCACTTTCCTTTTCCCCTACTGGTTTTCCCGTTAAGCTATAGTCTTGGTATTTCCATTAATTTTTATGAGACCTTAGTTTCCTATTAACTGAAGAAAGGAGATTTACTAGAAGTGTCCAGTTACTTGAAAGTATAGTTTCCTTATACCTTTCCTTTGTTTTAATTAACATTTATCTAGCTTCCTCATTCCAAGTGAAAAATTAATTTATATTAGTGGAGACAAATGTAATAGAGAAATCACTTTCTTGGCATTTCCCCAGGTAAACTTTCTAATAACCCTCTTTTTGCTGCCTAGTATCTTCTAACCCCTCGGTCTGGGTGTCTCTGAGTAGAAAGATGGCACAAGGAGTACAAAAAGGAGCTTGCAGAGGGCATGTTCTTCGAAGGGTCTTCTAAATACAACACTTCACAGGGTTGGTTTGGCATGGCTGTTTGAAGTTACAGGTTCTCTCTGACGAGAGAAGTACTGGTGTTCTAAATTGCTGATAAAGAAAAAGTCATAGGATTTAGAAACCAACGTATCAGGTACTCATAGCATGAAAATGGAGGCTTCTCCCGCCATGGCCTCTCTGGATGGGAAAACTAATCACTCCACCTAGACCACAAAGGTAACTATATAAGTAATGCCAGAATTTTCCTCAGGAAGCTTTGTTGGATCTTTTCCAGAGTAGGAAGTTCAATTAAGTCCCCAGAATTCCATGCCATAGGGAAAGGCAGAAACTATTCTGGCCTAGAAATTTTTCAGGGAAGGTGTTCTTAATTGCTGGATGTGGCTTTAGAAAAGTCTCCTGTTGACAAGAATCACTGATTTTCAACTACTTTGCCTAGACTCATAAAGATGAGTAAAGTACAAAATGTGTCCCTTGGTATGTGAATGGACTGAATCGTTTTATGGGGTTATTTAATCAACCAATCGATGTATGTGAATCTGATTTCAATTTAAATATGTTACTATGGAATCATTAATACTATCAGTAATTTGATATCAGGACCTTAGCTATAAAAGTTACTTTATTTTCTTTCTTTTCTCTTTTGCAGTATTGGGCATGGAAACCAAGGGTACTCAACCACTGAGTTACATTCCCAGATCTTTTATTTTTTTGAGACAGGATCTAACTCAGTTGCTGAGGCTGGCCTCGAATTTGTGATCCTCCCACCTCAGCCTCCCAAGTTGCTGGGATTACAGGTGTGAGACGGTGTGTCTGGCTAAAAGTTACTTTTAAATATTACCTTATTAGTAACATCAGAAAAGCATATAATGTTCAGTTAGCATCTTTCTTTGCAGTTAAACACCCAGCAAAATTGCCTCTAACAGAAGGGGGCGTGAAGGGAGCAATTCCAACAGATTTAAGGATCAGTGGATATCTGTAACATAGAATGTAGTAAGCCAGCCCATCAAGGCCATAGCATTGAATTCATACCCCTCCCTGAGAAGTAGATCATGGGTTTTTCCATTTTATTCATATGGATACACAGCTGTAATCCCTGCAGATTAGGAGGCTGAGTCAGGAGGATCATAAATTCAAAGCAGCCAGCCTAGTAATTCAGTAAAACCTTGTCTCTAAATAAAATACAAAATAGGGCTGGTGGTGTGGCTCTGTGGTTAAGTGCCCCTGAGTTCAATCCCTGGTACCAAAAAAGGAAAAAAAAAAGAAAGAAAGAAAGAAACACCAAATTAAGTAATGCAAAAGGTCTTGCACTTAGTAAGTCGAAAACAAAACTTCAAATGCAGATCTTTTAACTAAGTCCAGTTTTTTTTGAGACAGAACCCAAAACATACAACAGAAAGCACAGCTGGGTGTGGTGTGGGAATTTGACACCTGAATCTCATCTCACAGATCTGTAACCCAACATGAAAAATTTAGAGGACCATTCATCTCAAGCTGCTACCTTAAGTTCCACTGTATAAAACCCATTTTTTTAATATTTATTTTTTTAGTTATAGGTGGACACAATATCCTTATTTTATTTTTATGTGGTGCTGAGGATCAAACCCAGTGCCTCAACAATGCGAGGCAAACGCTCTTCCTCTGAGCCACAATCCCAGCCCTATAAAACCCATTTTTAAAGTAAAAAAATTTCCCAAGATTTGTCCTAAATAGTTAAACTTCCAAGTCTGTGTTTCCTCCCTTCCTCTAACCCTTGTACTTGCCTAAATGTCACTAATTCTGGGTCCCTGGTTTCCTGCCTTAACCAGGTTTTGCAGTTGCCTCGGGAGGAGGAAGCAGAGGATGGAGAAGAAGGGAAAGCAGAGAGGGGCAGGAGGGATGAGGGGAAGGAGGAGGCAAGAGAGATTGTTGCTGACTGTATTCTGGATGGACGACGGGAGTTTCAAGAGAAACTCAACCTCTGTAGGACCTTTGGCTTAAAGAATCATGACACCAGGAGAGTCCAAATGGAAGGTCACAGATCCGAAAGCACCTAGTTCCATCTCTTGGTTTATAGATACAAAAACTGGATCTAAAGAGAGAGAGGACTTGTCCAGGGTCACACAGCTAGTTGCTAGAACAGATGTCATTATTGCACTGTATAAAGATGTACAAATCTTAAAGTACTTTCATACACTTTATTTCATTGCTTCACAACAGTCCCCCGAGATGTGCCTGTCAAATGTCACGTAAGTGAACAATTTCCTTTTTACTGTACCATTACAGAAGTAACTTGTAGATTGCGTAAGAAAAACCAAATAGTTTCTAAAACTGACTTAGATCCTAAAATTAGTCTTACAAATGAGGAAACTACTTTGGAAAGAAAAATGTCTGGCCCCAAAAAACATTGCTCAACTAATTACTTATCTATTGCTAAAATTCAGGAAAATTCCTATACCTTTTAAAAAATTATTGGTTCTTATTATACATATTTATAGGGTAATGTGATAGTTTGATACCTATATATAATATATAATAATCCAACCAGAGTAGTTAGCATTTCCATCTCCTTAAATAGTTTTTAAATTTTTAAAATTTACATATAATAATTGCATCAGTTTATGAGGTATATAGTATGCTATCTCCTTATTATGCAGAAAAAAAAAAATACAGAAGCCTAGTCTAACTAACTGGATAACCCACACTGGTAGAAATTTAGTATTTTAAATATACTTTGGATGACACTGACATTTAATCTTGAGAGTTTTAAATAAAATATTATATATTTTTAATATGATTTCATTTTGAAACATGAATCTATTAACATTCTAGATATATGGGCTTTTGGATGATATAATACTTAAGTTATTTATTATAAAAGTATATATAATATTTATGAGTCATACTTGGACTAGAAAGAATTTGTGAATTAAGAGAAACTTAAATTCAGTGTATCTTTGTGCAGGTGTAAGTAAAGAGAAAAACTTACTTTATGAAACAATAACTTTAAAAAACAAGATGAGAAGGCAATTTGTAAATAATACAAGTAAAATTTTTGTTTTCCAGGGTCTAGTTCGGGTTCAAAATTAAAAGGTCCTGAGCTGAGTTTAAAAGGCACCCAGCACGTCATGCAAGCAGGCCAGACACTGTATCTCAAATGCAGGTAAGTGACTGTGCTGGTTTGGGAATAATCTACTTGTCCTTCCCAGGGCCCAATTATTATTTCCCTGGTAGAATAGAGAGGTAGATTTTAGTGGTCTCCTGTGATCTGCAAAGTTCAAACCACCACGTCTCCAGCTTCACATGGAGGGGAAAGAATTATTCACTAGGGAAATGGGGCAATGATGCTCATTTTTGCAGCTTTGTTCTCAGTATTGTTCAAAAGGTTTTTTTAAACATGCTTCTTTTTATAAAGACGAAGATGACTACACTTAAGAGAAGACAGAATAGTGCTTGCCAATAAAATGAATGTTTAGGAACTGTTGCTGAGCCTTGGCCCAGTCTTGACTGTGTTTTATTTTCTTATTTACAATTGCAGGGGGGACTCACCTCATTCATGGTCTTTGCCTAAAATCGTGAGTAAGGAAAGCAAAAGACTGAGCGTAACTAAATCTGCCTGTGGAAAGAATGGCCAACAATTCTGCAGTACTCTGACCTTGAACATGGCTCAAGCAAACCACACTGGCTTCTACAGCTGCAAATATCTACCTATATCTAGTTCAAAGAAGAAGAAAGCAGAATCTACAATCTATATATTTATTAGTGGTAAGACTTCCATTCCTATGTTCTGTTTGCTATTGCTTGGCAGAGGGCTTTAAATCTACCCTGGTCCATTGGAAAGGTGGCTTTCCTAGAGAGTATCAAACAAATGGACCAGGAAAGAGATTACACCCTAGTTGTAGAACTTAAGAGAATTCAGTTTTGCATAATGCATTTGAACAAGAATTTTTAAGGCCTAGTCAGTGAATTGTACACTCCATAAGATAAGAGACTCTTGTCTATTTGGCTCACCATTATACCCATAACATGTAGAAGTGTCTGAATGGATAATAAATGGTAGGATCTTAGTTCTATTTCTTAATTATTGAGAAGCCTCAAATAGGATACATGATTTTGGTACTTTAACACACTATATTGTCTTATATGTTAGAATCGTAAAATTTTTTTTTCTAGGCTAGGGAAAGTAGCTCAATAGTAGAGCACATGCTTAGCATGTTTGAGGCCCTGGGTTTGATCCCAGCACAACACACACAGACACACACGCAGTTGTTTTTCTTCTAAATTAATAAATGTAGTATTATTAATTTCTCTTGAACATTACAAAATTGGTTCCGGTTGACAATGGTTTATTATTTCATGTTCACTGAGCAAATATTATATAAGAACTGGCATACACCATTGAAGAGTGAAAAGGACAAAAGATAAAACTGAATCTATCTCTCTTTCTTTTTCTTTCTTTTGGTGGATCTGGGGTTCAATCCAGGGCCTCACACATGATAGGCAAGTGCTCTACCACTGAGCTATATCCCCAGCCTGAAATGAATCATTTTTGGTTATAATTTCTATGATACTGTTTTTTCTGTCCTTAGAGAATGAGCAAATGAAGTAATAATATTCAAAGGGAAGAAATGAAAAATTTTTAAGGAAGTATACATTGAAAACAGAATTGGATCCCTGAGAAAGAATATAAAAGTGTCCTGTTGTGTTTCTCTTTGTTTAATCCAGTCAATTTCCAAAATCACTGAGGGGGATCTAGAGACCATAAAGCAAAATTGGTAGACACCTCAGGCACAAAATTAAAGTTAGAAAAGTACATATGGTGGGTCTTCCTTCTCATGAACTAAAGAACAGGATATTTGCTTAGTAGGCAATATAGTAGATTTAACATCTTGGTGCGATTCTTTTTTAATTTTTGAAATAAGGTAACTAGACAATGTTTTACTCATGCATAATCTCTAACTCTCCAGATTTAGGATTAGTCTTAGGAGACTGAACAGTTTCATGATACTGACAGTTATGTCTTTAGCTACTATCAGCCTGATGTTGACTGAGCCAGTGTTATATCCCTATTCTTCAAACTGTTCTGACCTGTACTTTTCCTGGGTAGCTAACTGTAGGGACTACACATCCTAGCGGTTTGCCACTGTAGGGATGCATCAGCCTACTTACACATAGAGTAGGCTGCAGACAGGGACCTGGGTATAGAAAGTCAGCACAAGCCTGTGGGAGGGAAAAGGGCAGAAAATGGGGCAGAGTTGGAGATGGTACAGAATGAAGAATAGAGACTTTGAGAGAGGCAATTTTGCAGCTCAGAGGGAAAGAAGACACAATGCCTGATAGTGGTGGTGGTGGTGTGGGGAATTATACTTGGCCATCTGTTTTCTTTTTCTGGTTCCAGAGTGTATTATTATATTTTTTTCCAGTGCTTGAATAGAAAAGAAAGCAGTGCTTCCTAGAGACTCCTATCTCTCTGGAGGAGTGGGACTTTAATACTAAAATTTGCATAAACTTTTCTCCTGTGGGTTTATCAGAGTCTGACTTGCAATTCAGACACACAAATAAATAAAGGAAGACCTTAATGTGTCTTGTAAAAACAACATTCAGTTATTCTCCCTTTAACTCCTACAGAAACAGGGAGTACATGATTTACTCCAATCCCCTTCTATGACAGAACAGATATGTAGCTACTTAGAATTATTTACACTACCCAACGGAGCAGATCTGGCAGATAATCATGACTTTGAGTGTTAAATCAATTGTTAATCTAAGCCTCATGAAGGCACATCTGTGTCTGTCTGATGACTCTTCTTATCTGTAATGTGCCTCCCCAGGACAGTGCCTGACAAATGGCAAAAACTCAGTATTTGTAAAATGAATGAATGAACTGGTTAATGGGTGCTTGTGGAATACTATGTTAAAACTGATATTGAGGCTAAATTCCAGGTCGAATACAAAGAGTGCCATGAGATTGGAGAGTAGTGGCCATTATTTCATGGACTCATAGCCTCTGCTGTGAGCATCAGGTTACAAGTTCCAATATCTCAAAACTCTGCACAATTTGTTAGACATTAGGAAATTGTCTATTTCAAAGACTCTTCTAGGAGAAGAAAGAATTGTGAAATGCAGAGTGTTTCTTAGGCATTTCTTGTGAAACACATACAAATACAGTCCATAGTAAGAATATTATGAGATCACTGGAAAATTGTTAGGAGGTATCATGAGATTGATCATTTTTAAATAGCACTAATACTAAAAGATGTTTGGCTAATAATGGTAGTCACAGAGGAGCATCCTGAATCTTACTTGCTTACTAATTAATCAACAAATATTTAGGGAACATGCTATATGCCTATAGCTGTCCTCCTATGAGAAGTGACACCTATTTTGTTATCTTTTTCCTGGCAGAATGTTATTAGTCTCATAATCATACCTTATAAAAGTCCAAAGTAGCTGTGATATAATTCTTTAAACAATTATAATGTTTCCAAATAGCCCAACATTTTCTGTATTTCTGTATTTATTACTTTATTAATTCCCTTTTGGAGGAAATTTGGTCTTCTGCTTTCATTTTTATTGAACACTTCCATTACAGGTTTATTTTAGTTCAGGGGCACAAAACTCCAACCATTTTTTGATTACTCACTAGATACACAGCTGTGATTACTCACTAAATACAAACTGACTATCATGTATTTATTGTTGAATATTTACTTCAGAACATGTTGTTCTGTTTGAAGGATTTCTTATCCCTGAAAAGCATCTGCAGATGTGTTGACATTTCATTTTAGTTTTTAAAAAGAGGGGAAACCATCTTTTGATATCTTCTGAAAGAGCAAACCTGTAGTCTATAGTATTTTTTGGTTTTTGTTTTTGTTTTGGGGGTATTAGGGATTGAACTCAGGGGCACTCGACCACTAAGCCACATCCCCAGCCCAATTTTGTATTTTATTTAGAGACAGGGTCTGACTGAGTTGCTCAGCACCTCACCATTGCTGAGGCTGGCTTTGAACTCACAATCCTCCTGTCTCCGCCTCCTGAGCCACTGGGAATACAGGCGTGCTCTACTGCACCTGGTTCTATAGATGAGAAAAAGAATCTGCAGTATACAGCTTTGTTTACATATCACCAAATCCAATGTATGAATTATGAACAAACTAATATTTTAGACGTTGATTGCCTGTTATGTAATAGGCACAGTTCCCATCTGAGTCTCATACAGATATGTTTTTCTGTATATTAAAGAGAAACTAATACTCTCACTTTATCACTATTATTTTATATAAATCCACCAATCCTCTGATATATCAATTTAATTACTCAAGTGATTATATATTTAACTACTTGAATTTATTACTAAATTGTCTGGTTAAATTAAAATTAATGAACTTCTTACACTAATATAGCTTCTTACATTTGTTCCATTCCTCTTCACTTAAACAAACGGTTTTTTTTATATCATGCCATTTATCCCTCACCAGGATCTACTCAGGGCTCTTGGTTCTTTACTTGTAAAAACCAAGGCTCTGTGGGGAACAGTGAAAAAGTATTGACTACAAGATCAGGTGCTCCAATTTCCCTTCCGAGTCTCAGTGGCCACAAGAGATGGAAAGGGGCAAGACCAAAGCAAGGGGACCAGCAGGACAGATGTTGGCCCCTATTCACTTCATGACTTTTGGGGAGGGAGAGAGTTGATAGGCTTGTGGGATCCATGCCAGGTGAGTGAAGGACAGTGAAGAGTCAAGTGACACTCAAATTCTGGTAGGGGTTGTATGGCCAGATGGAGCTTTACCCTACTAAATGACGCTGATGTGAAGACATCATCACACTGGCATCCTCCCTGATACACCCTTGGAGTGGTCTAGGCACTGAAATGAGCATAGCTGAAAAATTGAACCCCCTCCCCCAGTAATTACAGCTACAAAATTCTGAGTTAAAAAGAAAAGGGAAAAAACCACCACCACCACCACTGATTTGTTGCATATTACAGAGGATTTCTGGAGAAATGGTGAATTTATACATAAGATATTGTCTCTGGGACAACCTTTTTGAAAAAAGTTTTCTTAAAATTATTATTATAATATATGAGTTGTGACTGGCAAGTAAGAAAAATGACCAGAAATGTTTTAAAATGGCATCTCTAAATGATTTAGTACTGTGAGTGTGTCTAATTCAGTGAGCAAGACCTTAAACTTTGCATGTTGAGCTCCCCATACTGTGAAGTTAGCCTATATCCCTCCCTTCTCCAGCCTTGAGCCTTTTGGGGGGCTACTTAAATATAATATTTTCTCTTGGAAAATTATAATTGGAAAGTGAAAAAAAATGGGGTGAAGCTATAGGTTAGGTGGCCATCTCTAGTTCTTTGCTGTGAAAGAAACACACTGCTTTTCCTCTGTATGTCTTCTTGACTATGTTTCTCTCTGAGTTCATTAAAGTAAATGGGCTAGAGTATGTTCATGAGTTTTTTCCTTCCAATTATTTTCTCATATGCATAAAACTGATGAGCTCTGCATAATAGCCCAACTTAAGACATAAAAAATTAGCAGACACATTGGGTCAATAACTGAATAGTAGTATAATTTCTAACAACAGATATTTTTAGAAAGAGAAATAATTATGCCTTTATATAAATGTATTTAGTTGTGAAAAAGATCTATCTGGCTAGGGGACCCTGAGCAAGTAAAAATCTTAACAGTACAGATGTTCTGAGAAGCATTCAGTGCACTCATTTGTATAGCAAATTTTCTTAAAATTTTTCTTAAGAGCTT